ATGCAAATATTTTGTTAATATTGAAGTTGTTTGTGTTTTGAATAATTTGTGTGAATTTCCATTTATGTACCAGGTATCTTTCTCAACAGGCTAGAAAGTGTTAGGACAAGGCTAAAAGTTTGTATCTCCCTGCTGACGTAGGATTAAGGGATGTAGCCAAGAGCATATGAGGCATGTTTATTGGTCAATCAATTTCAATGGTGATGTTAGTTTTCCGACCATTGTACGCGACCAATGTTAAAAGTATGTAGGAACTAATATCGTGTGGAATGGAACGCTGACAGGCAGCCTTGTGACTTGTAAGTTGAATGCTGTTGTTGGACTTGAATAACATTAAAACTAGGGTTGTTACAATCCATTCAGAAGTTCAGTGAATCAAACTGTATCCTTTTTATCAATTCAATTTATTATTCGCGATCATTAGAATAAAATATTCATGATTTTTTTTAATTGGAGTAATATTGCTTGAATTTGGGTGTTACTTTTGCATGCCATAATGGAATATATCCAACCAAGGGTGCCTAATAGTCAACATAGCTAAATATTTGATTTGCTGGTACCTTGGTCACCAGCCATTGACGTGATAAGTTGGCATTGTCAGCATGGTCAAAATATGTCAAAGAATGTATTTCTTATAGTTTCATGAAATATAATGAATGATGCATCAAGAGCTGAGTTGTTATTGTATTTGTTACCTAATATTCATGATTTGTATCATATTTGCCTCATATTGGATTTGTAGCAGCCCTATGAATAACCTACTTATCGATCAGTGATGCCTCCACATAACATGAGATTGGTCTTGTGTGGATACAGTAGAGTATGCTGGGTTATGGATCCATCTCCGTCTTGAAGCATTTGTTACATTTTACATTTATACAAGTTCCGAGCTCTGGAAAGAATCCATGTTAGAACTGGTCTTCGCAACCAATCCTTGTAGGAGGCTTCCAAGGGTATTGGGTGTGAAGGCTTGCTGACTTGGTTCAACTCCATAAACTGATGCTCATGTTGTCGATCACTGGATTGTCTAGTCTAATTTACTGACCAATGTCCTATAGCTGAAATAGTACCCAGTGCAGCATTTATCAAGTTAGAAAGACGTTTTTCGTTGGTGAATAACATCAAAGTTATCACATTACACCACCATAACAATAGACATAACATGTCTATGAGACACAAATTACTACGTAGATATTGTAATAATGAAGCTCTGGTATGTTAACTTATGATTACAGCGTGAACCCTATCTTTATGTAAGGTTGTATGAACATGTGGGACATACACTCAATTTCATGGCTGAGTGTTTCACATAACATTAACATGTATTGAGGCCATGCTCACTGACCTAGTTGATTTGTAAGGTATATTGTAATTATTAGCCAGGTGGGTTTTTGTTATTGTATGTATATATGAATGGAATATATAGGAATGAAAAGAGGGGTATGCATGCCTGTGAAAAATGTACATATTTTTTGTGATCAATGACAATAAGAAAATGAAAGGACATTCTCTTTATTCAGCGTTTGAAGTTATAAATATGCCAGTTCGAGGAAGGACTAGTGATGTTTCCTTGTAGACTACCAATTTTACCATCAGGTAGATGGCAGATCTGTAACTGATTGCATTGGCAGACTGATGAAAAATAACATATAATTACAACCCCTGTATTGCAAAATATTATTCTTACAACAATCGGAGATATATGTTAATTCACAGAAGTACCTTTAGAAGCATGGTAGGAATACAATAGTTTACTTCAGCCAGCAGGGAAATAGTTACCCTGCATGATCAGATGGAATGTGACTGTTGACCTTTGGAACCATTAAACAGGTTGATAGTGGAGCAGCACTTCATCTGTACATTGGAATTACGCAGTTTACAAAAGGTCTGTTACTACTACTGCTGTCACTACAAATTACAAATTACTACTACTACTACCTTACTACTACTACTACTACTACTACTACTACTACTACTACTACTACTGGGGGCAGTGGGGTAGCCTAGAGGTTAAAGCGTTTGCTCATCAAGCCGAAGGCCCGGTTCGATTCCCCACATGTGTACAATGTGTGAAGCCCATTTCTGGTGTCCCCCACAATGATATTGCTGGCGTAAAACCATACTCACTCACTCACTACTACTACTACTACTACTACCACTACTACACTTGTAAAGTGGTGGAAGTAATAGTAGTAGTAGTAGTAGAATAATTCCTTTGTATTGATTTATAGCATCAACAACTACATGCATGAAATGTCATGAATTAATATGGTTATAGTGGCATTTTGTAATTGTTGACGTAAACACAAACAAAAGACATGTTATTTTGACTTAGTTCATGTTAGAACTGGAAACAGAAGAAATCAAAATTATCCTTTTTCAGCCTTAAATTTCTCTTATATTCATTTTTGATGTGAAAACATCTTTACACCGTTTCATCATGTTCATTGAGGGAAGCGAGCTCCTTACGTCATGTACATGTTGGCAGGAGATATGTCCGGCTTTTGGAGTGTGGATTACACAGCCCAAGGCAGTCTGGCAACCACAGCCAATCTCGACTCGAAATCATGTAATTAGTTATTAGCTCAGGTAAAGCAAGATTACTTACATGGTGAATGGTTATACGTTCAGGCAGGAAGTTAGTTTGCATGTTTAAGATTACTCGTCTTAAATGATTCAGATCTGTTATAGGCAATTGTATGTTTATTTGCCTCATGTTGGGTATTCTTTTGTGTAGATTTTGGCATGTTTACAAGTAATATGTGGAGTTATTATAGTATTATTGCTATTATTTGTACACGTATATCAGATATTGGGCCAAGAATATAATAACAAAACAGCAGAAGATGGGTTGTTCATTTTTTCAATGAAACCATAACAAAATAGATTATTTGGCATGTTTTGACCATGTTGACTGTTGATTTATCACCACAATGACCAGTGTCCACATTACTGTCAAATTATGGTGGTGGGGTAGCCTTGTGGTTAAAGTGTTAGCTTGTCACACTGAAGACCTGGGTTTGATTCCCCACATGGGTACAACATGTGAAACCCATTTCTGGTGTCCCCTGCCGTGATATTGCTGGAATATTGCTAAATATCGATGTAAAACTAAACTCACTCACTGTCAAATTAAATATGCATGGGTGCGGACTTCTATCCGGTTTGGGATATGTTCCATTTTGCAAATTATGGATGACACCAAATTAAGTAAAAACATTCCTTTAAAAAATGCATGAATATTTGACTCTAGTGACCATGTATAATGAATTAAATTCATAAAGGTATACTATTCGATTCACCGAATACACAAGTGAATCCAGTAGAAGCCATACTGGACTCTGACCTTGGACCGAACTTGCTGAAGTATAAGGAAGTCATTGTAGAGTGTGATATTGATGTAAGTCATTTCTAGTGCAGTTAATAGCTCACTGCCACAAAATAGTTTACATTTATCAAAATATTGATGTAAGTCATTCTAGTGCAATTAATAGCTCACTGCCACAAAATAGTTTACATTTATCAAAATATTGATGTAAGTCATTTCTAGTGCAATTAATAGTTTACTGCCACAAAAATGTTTACATTTATCAAAATATTGATGTAAGTCATTTCTAGTGCAATTAATAGTTTACTGTCACAAAAATGTTTACATTTATCAAAATATTAATGTAAGTCATTTCTAGTGCAATTAATAGTTCACTGCCACAGAAATGTTTACATTTATCAAAATAGCAATGGTTAAGATGACCAATGAGAAGGTAGGACATTCAATTTTTAAACATTTAATTGATACGTCCTTTTTTCATTTACTATTACATTCAAAGATTACATTTCTCTGTATGTTTTGTAATGAAATAATTTTGTTATATCCAGTTTATCATGATACTTCTGAGACCGCCTCCGTGGTGTAGTGGTTAGAGCGTCCGCCCGGGAGAGCGGAAGGTGGCGGGTTCGATCCCCAACCGCGTCATACCAAAAGATGTTAAAATATGGTACTTGTTGGTCCCTGTCTGGCGCTCGGCATTAATGGGTACAACAAGGACTGGTCGGCTCGGAGTCAGTATAATGTGTCAGAGTGGGGTATTCATGCTTCACTGCGGCATGGTATCTCAGTGTGCTAGCACTATAAAACCAGCTTCAGTCTGGGCTAGCACAAGCAGCCGCACATATTCACACGCATGCACATCGTCATATGAGCGAAATATTCTCAAGCACAACATTAAACCCAATTTCACCTCACCATGATACTTCTGAGATGTTGGGGTAATATATCAAAACTATACCTTAACATCAAGTACGCCATTCAGGTCTTTGAATGGCATTTAGAAGTGATGCACTTTCACCTGATAAAGAAGTAAGTGTATGCCCGGTACTCCAGAATATTGTGTTCCTCATTATAAAGAAGTTGACATCCATAAAACTCTCTTCCTTAAGTACACCATTGTTAAAGTCTGAAATGTGCTAATTTAAACTATGGCCTACAATATCATGACTCCGTGAGTCAGTGATATATAATCATCATATGAGTCATATTTAACTGTGCTAGCTTGATGTAATCTGGTCAAGTTATCAATGTGTTATCAGGCCTGTGTAGGTTATCTGCATGTTGTAGCCTGCATCGGTCCAGTTTTATACATGTAAATCACGTCACTGTGGAATATAGGTCAAACGTGATTCAAAACTAGTAAATATTGCTATTTGCAGAGAGTGAATTGCGACTTTGTGGTGTCAGTTATCAGTACTATGAGTGTCTGTGATGGGGTCAGCATAGAGGGGTCACTGGTTCAGTGTGCCTATCCCAGGTGTTACTCAGCGATGATTACAGGTGTCGCTCCCCGTGGTCAGGTATAAATACACACACAGCCATGTGGCCAGCAGTTGTCTGTTGACAGTCTGGGTACGAACACATCGCAGGAGGCTGCCGCTTTCACATATTATCAAATTAGCCAATATTTACAGAGCATATACAGAGTGGGACGTCTTGGTGCTGCTTGGATCTTACTGCTGGAATTGTCTTTGTGCGTCGTCTTGCGTGCTGTATCTGTTGTTGCAGCAGGGATATCAGGAGTTACATACCTTGTCCGATAATACCCAGCGATCTCCATTTGGATACTCATTAACTTAGTTGGATAACTGACAAGTCACGAAGTAAGTATTTGTGATATTTTTCTGAGATAATCAAGTTGAACTTTGGGGCTGGTGTATTTTCATTGTTTATTTTTTATTTTGAGAACAGTTCAAGAGGTGGTATCAGTGGGGAGAAGACATGTTGTGTGTCTTTCACAAGGAGATTTTAAGCGTTTGAAATGTTAGTGAAGTTATTTCTGAAGATGTGTTAATGGCATTTAATCTAGCTACAATTCATTGACTGAACATGTTGTATCCTGAATAGCAGTAAATCATCACGATGTGACCGTGTTGATAGTCATGACACTGGTGACTTCTCTAAATCAGGGGCAGTGGGGGAACCTAGAGGGTTTGGTGTTTGCTTATTCTGAATAGGGCAAGTTTGATTTGGCTTGTCTCCCTCATGGATATGGCATATAGTCAGTTTTTACTGACTCTCTGATCTTGTCCCTAAATGACAGTAAAATATAGTTCTTGTTTTCCTGCCTGGAGGTCAGAATCTAACTCATAACACAAGACAGGTTTGGTCGGAGTCAGTATACATATTATTAGGGTTGGCTATCGATAAAGATCACAGATCGATAATTGTTAACTAAATATTGATAAATATTGGAGAAGAACAAAATGTCTGAAAAAAAAGTCTGAAAGAAATGAATATATTTCCCACCACTGGTGAGAGGTGACATGTTTATACATTTGTTAATAACAAAAGAGCGTTTTGAACATAATGTAGAAGCATCCCATGAATATAGACCTAACTTGTGTATTGTGTGAGTAAATTAAAACTGTATTCTATCACAAAAGTCTTTGTACGATATTATCGATGACACTGTTTTCATATCGATGATCATTAATATTTTTTCCTATCAACAGTATTTTTGATTGTCGATTTCTTAGCCAGGCCTACATGTTACACTGTGACACTTGGCAAGGCCACTGTCCTGATAGAGTACACATTGAGTACACAGTGATTGACACTGCAGTAACACTGTCTTTCTGACCACTGCCTTGACTGAGGCACAGCACACAAAGTACTTAGTGATCCCTGTTGTAATAACACGACTCTCTGGCCACTACCTTGACCAATTCGACCCCATGTCATTGTCACGTCTCAAAGTGCCCTTGCCTCCTGTTTGTGCCAGTGACGTGAAATCCTGATGATTGACAGCTACAAATCGGTCAGTAGGTCAAATGAGTGGTACATGTTTACATCATGGGACCAGATAGCATCATTAGATTTGCATTAGAGAGTATGGAGGCAGTATACAAGCTGTCAGCTTGACTTCCACTACCAGCTGTGGCATGGTGGGTGGAAAACCAGCGTCGGATATGATTATATATTTATGCATGATGATGGTCATATAGTATCATGTCTGCATACTGCACCGCCACCACCAGCTGTTTATGGAATACCGATATTCCCAGGCACAATGTACTTCAGTTTACAACCCTGCTTAGCTGTGGCCAACAGTAGGCTGTAATCTCTCATATCGCTTGTGTGTATTGCATTACCAAGGTAGCAAACTAGAGTGGGCTGACTCCACGTGTAATTAGGGTCAAGTTTCATACTGTGATTTATTGGTATTTGGTATGGAATTTCATTAGAAATGCTACTGTAGTAGTGTTACGTTAAGATATTGGTACCTTTATGCCTTTATTCACTTGTTTACCAATCATTCATTTCTTGGTTAGGCCTAAAAAAAAAAAGCTTGTGGTTCCGATTTCCCGACCGACCCTAAATATTCCCGCCGAGCCTAACAATTTTACTCACCATAATAATTAAATTTATTTTCTGCCACATGAGTAATGTAAAAATATTTTGCAAAAAACCTACCTACCTACCCTAGTTCTGAAATGTAGGAAATCGGAACCTCAACATTTATTTTTTTTTTTGGCCTTATGTAGATTGTACATGTTGTAGTGTATGAGACTATGTGAAAGACACACAGACCATGGCAGGGGCTTCTCGACTAAGATGATCAAATCCATGTATGTCTGTGCATGGTGTTATTATGTATCAGACTGTGGGATAAGGACAGAAGGAGTCCCCAGTGAATATTTGCCAATGTTAAAATGGAAACAAAACCACTATGTGAATCGTGATACATGTCACAAATATTGAGTAATGAATACAAGTCAGTAGCTGGTGTATTATTTAATGTGTCCAGTGAATCAATAACAAAATGATTGTTTGACATGTTTTTACACTGTTGACATTGTTGATTTTTCACGGCAGCTGACCACATTACTGTCAAATTCAATATATATATTATACATGATCTAAGAGTGCTGGGCCTAGATTTTCGAAGCTCTCTTAGCGCTAAGATAGTCGTAAGTTAATGTTAATGAATGGCACTTACGACTATCTTAGCGCTAAGAGAGCTTCGAAAATCTAGGCCCTGGTTGTTATCCTGCCTGGCTTATATATATTCCAATTTTGTATATCTCCATTTGAAAAATAGCACCCACATTCATATGTATTACATTTTAGTGATAACAAATTGAATTCATGAAGGGATGCAGCTCAATTCACAGAATACGCGAGTGAATCGTAACAGCCCTACCTGTTATTACAGGCTACTGGTTAAATCATGTGGTCAGACTGGGTGGCTTTATGATCACATGTGTCGTACCTCAACAACACAAGACCTGTGAAGGTCCAGGTTAGAATTGGTGTTCAGTAACCATTCTTCTTGTATTAGGCGACTAACAGAATCATGTGGTCAGACTCACTGACTTGGTTGGCACATGTCATCGTATCCCAATTGGGTAGATCGATGCTCATGCTGTTGATCACTGGATTTTCTGGTCCAGACTTGATTATTTAGTGACCGCCGCCATATAGCTGGAATATTGCTGAGTGCAGCAGCGTTAAACAACCAACCAACCTCAACAACAGAAGCTGGTACGTTGTAGATTCTGTCACTCGCTAGTTTTCCCAGCCCATTGTTCAATACTTACAGACTGACATGATCAGTGTTTCCGCTAACTAAATTATTTATCGGACACTGTGTCTGGCAACCTAATATTTTACCAGTCATGAATGAAATTTGCCGGTCATATCCGATTACTATACTATAAATACTCATTTTAAAGTTATTTTTAGCCTGGGTATTTCCGAAACATAACACTTTTTGCAACCATGAAAGCACAGCCAAGACTGTGATTTGGCTTACCCATGATTTTTTTATTTTAATACATGATTATTTACCGGACACAATGTCCTGCTGGGTTTCAATTTACCGGTCCCCAACGAAATTTACCGGCTATTTTTTAGGTATATACCGGAGAACGGAAACACTGATGATAGAACTGAATGTCTGAAACAACAAAGCATGAAATATTAATTATGTTGATCAGGTATCTATAATTGTGTGTTTTATGTTCCAGGTCAAGATGAGTGACATGAGTGACCTTGACAGGTGAGTGTTAATCAGGTGTAGAGATCTACCATCAGGGACCTTTTTTACCTTCAAAGTTATTCAATAAAAATTAATTTTTCTGAACTTGTTCTGGCCAATAATTGGACCCAAGTTTGGACCAAGTTTTCTTATATACATGTTCATATGATAACATTATCTGTTATGATGTTCTGGAAGTGACTTGTTCTACTGGAAACAGGACCAGTAACGAGGGAAAGACTTTAACATATTTAATACACAGTTTTACGTTGTTACTTTGAATACAGTATTAAAAAATACATTGAAGTTAAAATAATTTTTAATAAAACACCTATTTTAAACAAATTAACATTTTTCAAATTTGTCTGATGTCTCGAAAAATGATATTGGAATGTATTATGAATATCAGATCTTTGATGCTTGTCAGAATACTTTTGTCATCTATGTTCAACATGTTAAAGGCCTTGGCAAACAAATATTTCTGTCACGACAAACTGTGTGGTTGGTGTAGAATGATAGGTAGTAATGTTGTCTTTCTGTTACAGACAAATTGAACAGCTGCGTCGCTGTGAGGTGATTAAGGAGAGTGAGGTGAAGGCTCTGTGTGCCAAGGCCAGGGAAATCCTGGTAGAAGAGAGTAACGTCCAGCGAGTGGACTCCCCCGTCACGGTAAGGGCTGTCAGGTGTCTTTGTCTGGTGTGAGGGAGTGGGAATGTGTTTCACACGTCTGACAGAAGTATTGTCACTTGTAGCTGGTCAGTTGGTTTTCATTGTCGCTGTACTTGTCAATATCATGAATAGAAGACCATAAATGCTGTCACCCGTGACGATCGGTAAGAATTGATCTTCTGTTTGTCGTAAGAGGCGGCTAACAGGGTTGGGTGGTCAGGCTCGCTGACTTGGTTGACATGTCATCACATTCCGGTTGTGAAGGTCGATGCTGATGATGTTAATCTCTAGATTATCTGGTCTTAATTTGAATATCTACAGACTGCTGTCATATTGTTGGAACATTGCGGAGTGTGCTGTCATCTTCTGTAGTGTTATTTGGTGAAAAATATGAGTGATGTATAACCCTTGTGAAGGTCAATTTCTTTACTAACCCAATATTACTATAGTGAGTGAGTGAGTGAGTGAGTTTAGTTTAAGCTGCTTTAGCAATATTCCAGCAATATCATAGTGAGGACACCAGAAATGGACTTCACATATTGTACCCATGTGGAGAATTGAACCCGGGTCTTCGGCATGACGAGTGAACACTTTAACCAGTGGTCTACCCCACCGCCCGAAGTTTCCTTAGAGCTACCACTATTGTAAGATTATGTTATAGTATAGGATTAACAATCACCACTATTGTAAGATTATGTTATAGTATAGGATTTACAATCACCACTATTGTAAGATTATGTTACCACGATTGTAAGATTATGTTATAGTATAGGTTTCACAATCACCACTATTGTAAGATTATGTTATAGTATAGGATTTACAATCACCACTATTGTAAGATTATGTTACCACGATTGTAAGATTATGTTATAGTATAGGATTAACAATCACCACTATTGTAAGATTATGTTATAGTATAGGATTTACAATCACCACTATTGTAAGATTATGTTGCCACGATTGTAAGATAATGTTATAGTATAGGATTTACAATCACCACTATTGTAAGATTATGTTATAGTATAGGATTTACAATCACCACTATTGTAAGATTATGTTATAGTATAGGATTTACAATCACCACGATTGTAAGATAATGTTATAGTATAGGATTTACAATCACCACTATTGTAAAATTATGTTATAGTATAGGATTTACAATCACCTTAACACTAAGACAGCTATTTATAACAGGGCCCAAGGTATCTATCTGGAGCTATTATAACCATGAACTTGCTTGATTCATTGGTGTGAACATCCGTGTACTTTCCATTTCAGGTATGTGGAGACATTCACGGTCAGTTCTATGACCTCAAGGAACTGTTCAAAGTTGGAGGGGATGTTCCCGACACAAACTACCTGTTCATGGGGGACTTCGTAGACCGTGGGTTTTACAGCGTGGAGACATTCTTACTACTACTAGCTCTTAAGGTATGTAACAGTGGGCCAGATCATGTCGACACTGTTATTAGATGTCTTTATGAAGAGTTGGAAGTGTAGGTTTTGTGGTTTAATTATATTCTTATTATATAAAGTTTCTTTCCATATTATGACAAGCTATTTTGAAGCAAGCCAATAAAAAAAAACCCAGGTCATGTACCAATCTCTTTTTTTCGTTCAAACCAGCAAACACAGCTTGAAGTTTCAGTTTTCCGAATCGTCTCTACAAGCTTCATGTAATTAAGTAGCCCTACTTTAATACAACTATGTTGTGTAATCAGCCTGTCTATCAGGGTGTAGACAGACTAGTAACTGCCAATCAGATTGTTAAATCTAATCGTCTTGGCAGTATTTCAACAATCCTTAGGTCAAATTATTTATTCCAAAATACAGAACAGTGTTGGCACCAATATTAAACCTTATTGCAATGTCACTAGGGTTTTCTTTGATTTTGCAACAAAGAGAGAAAAGAGTATTGAAGATATTTATGCCATCCCAGCAGTGATCAATGTCTGGAATTCCTGGTTGACTTGTATTCTACGTCATAACAAAAACACTGGTACGATTAAGTTAAATATTGCTTCTGGTCTCACATTGTGTGTATTGTTGTCAGGTCCGATATCCAGACAGGATAACCTTGATCCGAGGAAATCATGAGAGTCGGCAGATCACGCAGGTGTACGGATTCTACGACGAGTGTCTCCGCAAGTATGGCTCCATCACTGTCTGGAGATACTGCACAGAGATCTTTGACTATCTCAGCTTATCAGCAATTATCGATGGGAAGGTAGGTGTCTACAGCCTGTGTATTGTTAGTTCTTTATTACCCTACTCATCAACGAAGTTGCAGGGGATATAGAAACAAGTTCAGTCCGTCCGTGCGTCCCTCACACTTTGTCCGAAGCATATCTCCTAAACTATTCGTGATAGCTTAACCAAACTTGGTACACATGTCAACCATGATCCCTAGATGTGCCTTTTGGGGTTAGACCCAGATATGGATTTTATTTTTTACTGTTTCCATGGAAACATGACTTGGGCTGTGACTATGAGGATGTCATGTTGTCCGGAGCAGATCTCCCAAACTATACATGCTAGCTTCATCAAACTTGGTACACATATCAAGCATGATCCATAGATGTGCCATTTCATGGTTAGACCCAGATACGAATGTTATTTTTTGTGGTTTCTGTGGAATGTGACTTAGGCTATGACTATGAGGATGTCATCTTGTTGCATTTCCATGGCAACTAGTTAGGCTTCAACTGAATTTGGTGGTAGTGCTCTTACAAAACTAACACATCTTCTTGTGAAGTTTGATGACAGCAGCATAAAGTCTTCTTCCTGGCTGAGATTTGAATATGTACCTGCGTGCATGATACAACAACATTCCCCTCCTCACATAGTGCTCAAAAGACAACATGGCTTTCTGATAAGATATACGGTAGCCAGTATGCAGGCCAGATCTCATCATTCTTTTGAGGCTGTATTGATAAAATTGCTGACTCAACATTACCTCTGTCTTTCACTCACATTGTAGTAATTTGTGAATGTGAGGTTGTGTTGTTGTTGTATTGTCCTGTATTGTCCTTCAGTGTTCACAGTCATGTTTCCTGTTTCAGATATTCTGCGTCCATGGTGGTCTCTCACCTTCTATTCAAACACTGGATCAAATCCGAGCTATTGATCGTAAACAGGAAGTGCCACACGACGGACCTATGTGTGATCTGTTGTGGTCAGATCCTGAAGGTAGGTCACAGATGTATTGCAGACAAGATCACAGAATAGGAATATATGTGTGATTTTGACCAAAACATTCAGTTTCCTGATTTATTAAAGATCAAATTTAAAGTAGCAAGAAATATTTTAAAATACCGGTTGAACCATTGATAAGATAGATAACCCAGATAGTCGGTTCTTGGGATTAAGTGGTTGAGGATCTGGGTCCCAATCCACATAGCAGTTACACCATTCCATTGCTACTGTACAGTTTATTGAAGCATTTCACAGGCTGCTAAGTGCTGTGAAAGCTTTGGGGTTTTGGCCCAGTGACGTTAATCAGCTCATTCTTTTTTTACTCCTAGACTTATGTTTAGACTGAATTTTTGTTGTTGTTGTATAGTTCTCTAAGATAGTTATGCAAACCAGTATTTTCCTTTGATTTTAAGAAATACTGATTAAAACAAGTTGTGACCTTACTGTGTATTTGGTACTGATGTGTAACTTGAGTATTTATTAATGTTTTGAATGTTTCTCTCTCCAGACATGCAGGGCTGGGGGGTGAGTCCACGAGGAGCAGGGTACCTGTTTGGCAGTGATGTGGTGGCACAGTTTAACGCTGCTAACGACATCGACTTGATCTGCCGAGCACATCAGCTGGTGATGGAGGGATACAAGTGGCACTTCAATGAAACAGTATTAACAGTGTGGTCTGCCCCCAACTACTGCTACAGGTACATCTACAATACTTCACTGTGTATCTTGACGTTAATCTGGGTCTAGTGATGATTTACAGGGGCTAGTGGCTACCTGCATAAATCTAGTACAGTGAACTATGTTTATAATGAACATACTTATACCGAATGACTGATATATGAGCCAGCGTGATCTCTTCGATCGCAATGTGGATCTGTGATCACTGTGCCCAGAACACAAACTGTAATATATAGTGACAAATTCTTCAACAAGATTGCAGCAACACTGGAACCATCTACCGTCTACCCTGAGCAACTCAACACCTCATGACATTTTTAAGAATGGCGTAAAAACCCATCTCTTCAAATCAGCCTACATTCAGTAGCATTTGTGACTCTTTCTGTGAAAGCCCTTAGAGTGCCTTAGTTCCTAAATGATATAGGGCTGTATACAAATTTTTGTATTAAATATTTTTGTATATTACAACAAACTCATTAGTCATTCAGTCACTTGCTGTATATTGTAGAGATGCACTCTATGGAACTATGGTTGTAACAAACTAAAATAATGGTCCCTTTGTGTTCATTACAACCATGGTTTACTGTGTGTTTCATTAGCTACTATTCTGAAATTACTCCTTACACATGACCAATGGTGTTTCCTTGGGGTATATAGAAATGTAATGTTAAAAGTTAGAGAATTTAGGGGTCTTATTATTCTTCAGAACAAACCTTCAGGACTTCACGAATCCCCTTAATTTCAAACACTGCGGACTAGCCCAGTGTTTAGAGGCAAACTCATCACAAATGTGTTTTGTTTGAAGCATGGCATTCTGTTTCTTTCCCATATATTTTGTACTGTGAAATGTTTTTGGACCACTGTTGACTGATTGTTGTGTTTTATTAGATGTGGAAACGTGGCTGCTATTCTGGAGTTAGACGAACACTTGCAGAGAGACTTCACAATCTTTGAGGCAGCACCACAGGTAGGTCACAGTAACCTAACTCAATATTAGGATACTCTTATGGAAGACCCCGTACTTTATGCATAGTATCAGTCTGTTTCAAACAAACATTTCATTTGTCGTAAGAATATATAAAAAATATTTATCTTTCTATTTTGTATAGGTTTGTGCATGTTTTACATTAACTGTTTACAATTTAGGTGTATCCTTGAACGATAAACAAACCTGGTGCGATGGGGGTAGCCTAGTGGTTAAAGCATTGTCTCATCACACCGAAGCCTCGGGTTTGAGTCCCCACATGTGAAGCCCATTTTTGGTGTCCTACGCTGTGATATTGCTAGATTATTGCTAAAAGCGGCTTAAAACCATACTCACTCACCCACTTAAACAAACCAAGCTTGTGTCAAGAAATTTTATTGACTTAAGCCATCATATGAATCATGATAGTAAATGATTCAACAAAATCCTCTCTCTTGACATGTATTAGGAGATTGGATTAAATCTTACCATTGAATATACACAAGTATCTCACTGACTTTTACCACCTCTTCCAGGAATCACGAGGTATACCATCGAAGAAACCACAGCCCGACTACTTCCTTTAACCAGCACCATCTGTAGTTCATGTACATCCCATTGTAAGATACTCATTTCACCGTCATCTCATCAACACAGAGGACACGAGACAGCGACAGCAGCCCAACTGGAAGTCTCACCCGTCTCAGTGTCATGAGGTAGCCTAGTGGTTAAAGTGTTCAATCGTCACACCAAAGACCTGGTTCGATTCCCCACATGGGTACATTGTGTGAAGCCTGTTTCTGGTGTCCCCTGTCGTGATATTGCTTGGATATTGCTAAAGGCGGTGTAAAACTGCTCACCCACTCAATGTCATAACCTCTCAAACCGAGGTCAGGTCAAGTGCTGCGTGTTTTGGACCTCTGGATTCATGACAGCATCACTGACACCTTGTACAGGCCGCTGTCTGTAGAAAAAGTGAAGAAGTTGTGCGATTGATTTATGGCCTCTGTGGAGGAACACTGAATCTAGCAACCTGTCATTTTACCCATACATGTATTTTATTTTTTCCCCTAAATTGTGGATATTCATGTACAATAAAGAATTTGAACAATTCATGTTTACATTTTAGATGTACGAAATGGTCATGATGAATTAGTGTATGTTTGATGTCATTCCACATTGGAATGGAAACATAGGTACTAACTTTAACAAGCTTGTGGAAGTGACTGTGTCAAACTGGTTTGGTCGTCGACACAGATTCACTGACCTTGGAGCTATGTGTGGAACTGACAATTTGTGTGAGATCAACTGTGTGTGTCAACTTTGTGACGATCTGTGTCATTTGTCATAGTAGGGCTGGGGTTGAATCTTCAGATCACAGGTATATGGCACTTAACGGGGATTCAGGTTGATTGTTTACCTGGATAATTGATGGGCCTGGCCATTATTGTTCAGAAGTAGATAGCCAAGGTTTTTTAAGGTATCATCCTGGGCCTCAGGACAATCTGAAGCATGACTGAACTGTGGGAAGATGGAGAAGAATATGTATCCTGATATTTGAGATTACATGTATTCTGTCTGCTAATGTTTTGTGTGATTAGGATGAGGATTTGTTGAACTGTTCTTACACAGAATAATATCATCATGTTTTCATTGGAGTTTACCTTTATATCCCAGGGTTCAAACAACTATAATTTCATTTCTGATGTATGGCAAACTCCTTGTCTGAGATAGGGTCTCTGTATATGTTTACTTACCCTGTGACGAATCCAGGGATGGAATCTTGGCATTTCACACAGCGTTATTAGCTTAGATAACATCCATTTATAGAACCGTCCGATATATATCCTATGCCCTATATCCCTTATATCTCCCTGAATCAGTTCAATTTGATGGGGCGGGGCAAATCAAGTTAGGCTCCACAATTGACTGTGTTGAAGCCCTTGGACATACCTGAGATCTAATTATGAGTTCACATGCAACCTTTGACCTGATTATGTTTCTATGTTTGTCAACACCATTTCCATGCATGTGGGTTTCTTCAAAGCAGTGGGGCGGTGGGGTAGCCTAGTGGTTAAAGCGTTCGCTCGTCACGCCGAAGGCACGGGTTCGATTTCCCACATGGGTACAATTTGTGAAGCCCATTTCTGGTGTCCCCCGCCATGATATTGCTGGAATATTGCTAAAAACGGCATAAAACCATACTCAGTCAGTCAGTCTTCAAAGCCGTAAATGTCCAATTGCCTGTTCCTTGCGATCTTGGAGCTAAGGTGGTCGTAACTCCTATACTTTAACATAGACTTATGATGGTCATGGCACTAAGATTCCTTTGATGAATGGGGCCAGATCTGCATTACTCCCACATCATGCTGACAGGTAGTGGTGTCACTGAAACTGATGAAATACTGTTCAAGGTTAAAACCAAACTCAGTTACCTCCCTTATTTGCCTGTGCTTGTGTTGAAGATACATCCCTGTACCAACATTACCCTGTGTGTTTTGTACAACCTCACCAATCCAGTGTATTATTTATAGCTCGAAAGAAGTTACAGTACACTTGTTACTTTCATACTTTCATGATATGACAGATTAACTAATTAAGTATGAAGAAACTTTTTTCAATTTCTTTTTAGTGGTATATTTTGAACAGACCATTTTGAAGCGAGGGCGAAAAGTGAATCCTTGATGTGTATCCTTTTGAAGAGATCTGTCCTGGGTGGTCGAGGATAGTGTGAGTGTAGTCAAAACAGCAGTAGTTCGCGCTCGAGTCACTTCACCTTGTAATATACCAACAGCATATCACTCATTGTAATGATAGTGGACACTCATTGTTTGTCATTGTTACTTCAGCTCCGTGTTCCTGTCAGTGTAGACTTTAGCATCCATGTACATTTGAACTCTGCATCATTAATGAGAGGTGTATATTTTTATATGACAAAGTCGTCAGTATGTAATAATCTTATAGGACCATTCTGTCCTTGCCTCTGTGAGTAAATCTGAGTGCAATCAAGCCAGATTTACAGTTATCTCCCTTGTGCGTCTTCTGTATGGACGATGTAATGTGGAATCCCTACTTGGACCAAACAGCCTGTGATGGCTGTCAGTGCCTGCAGCAAAGGGGCGATAGTTAATCTTTTATTATGCCTCAGCTCAACAGGTTAGTTGATTAGAGTGATCTGCCCTTGCTGTCGATATAATGATACACACAGGACAATCATTGGAGCCTATGTATAACAGTTCCTCCATTGATAAACAGCTAGTTTTACAGTCAGCATTACCACTGTTGAGGGAGATATAGTAAGGAGCTCAGTTCCCCTCACTTGCATCTCCCAGCATTATGGGATGTATCAGGTCCCATAGTTACAGTACAGATATATCATATATCAGGTCCCATAGTTACAGGACATGGTATATCAGGTCCCTTAGTTACAGGATGTGATATATCAGGTCCTATAGTTACAGGATATGGTATATCAGGTTCCATGGATACAGGACATGGTATATCAGGTTCCATGGATACAGGACATGGTATATCAGGTTCCATGGATACAGGACATGGTATATCAGGTTCCATGGATACAGGATATGGTATATCAGGTCCCATTGTTACAGGACATGGTATATCAGGTCCCATTGTTACAGAATATGGTATATCACGTTCCATGGTTATAGGATATGGTACATGTATGTCAGGTCCCCTAGTTACAGTATGTGCTATATCACGTTCCATGGTTATTGGATATGGTACATGTATGTCAGGTCCCCTAGTTACAGGATGTGCTATATCATGCCCCACAGTTATATACAGGATATGGCATATGCCAATCTCATATTTTCAGAATATGGTGTATCACGTCCCATATTTTAAGCATGAAAGTCCCATGTGTGTGGAATACAAAATGAACTTCAACAAATACGAGATGACGAAATTAAGACCAGTTGTTATAAAAGCACAGGTCAGAACCACCAATATAGCACCTACTATTGTTGGGGCCAGCCATAGGTTGAAAGATGTATGTAATGATCATGCATTTCACCATTTGATTGCTGAAGGCTTCGAGTGGTTTTGAAGATGAGGTAATGTTGGTATTTTGTACAGTAGAATAATAATCTTACTCATTAACTTCTGAAATATGTATGTGGATATGTGGTAAACGGTGTGCCCCTCACTGAGGCTCCTATCTATCTTCATGTGTCAACATAAAAATATTTTTCTATTTTTCTCTGTGACAATGTACGCTTGCCCAAACTGATCCATATTTACAGAATAAAATGACCCAATTTATATGCTTCAGTGTTTGCATGGGATGGAGATATGTCTACTGCATACATATATATAATCTTTTGGTGTAACATGGAAAAATAAGATTATCCCAACCAATAGATGAGCATATGCGAGAGTAAGTTAGCATCATTTAGAGTTCTCTGTAGGCATCCATTAGCCCATAATAGCTTTACCGTCATCATCATCATAGTGTATGTGGCTTAAGGGGTGTGTGTGTCTGCCTTTCTTCTGGAGTGGCTCCAGCTGTCTTTCGACAGTGATTAAAGTTAAGCATGAAAGTCTTGCAGTCCTTATTTCACCCCTGGTTAAATATTACAGGTTCCCTTCATTCATTACTACAGCGGCAGACTCAGGACCCTCTTAATTTCAAATATCGCTAATCCAGGAATTTGATAAACTTGTATTTCTTTTGTACCTATCCTTTTACATGATGGCCCAAATCAAAACGTTTGTCCCAACATCAGCTGTTCATTTCTGTCATTAGTATACTTGGTTTATTTACAGGTCATGTCATTAGGATCTCAGGCAACTGTTACTGCTGCAGCAATAAGTGTATAGATCAGAACCCATTCCATATTCCAGAACTCTGTCAGGACCTGTGTTGGTCCTACACAACATCCTGCCTTCCTGCCAACTTGTTTTATGATTTCGACAGGTCTGTCAGAACCTGTTTCACTATGAGGCCTCAGGTTTCCATCAGTTTCCTCTTGTACATAATTCATGCTGTACATTGCTGCCATGTTTTGATGCTGTGTCCGATATGACCGTCTGTCTGTGCTCACACAAGTCTCTGACAATTGTATATTACGTGAATGAATTATAACAATACAACATGTCTGTTTCTTTACTCGTTGTGTCATTACTGTGGAAATGTTAGCTGGGAACTGCATCTCAAGTGTTGGAATCCCTGTATGGTGAAGTCTGATGACACTGGACACCTATGATAGTTTATAGGATTGGCATGCAGAGCAACACCACAATAAGGTGAAATGTATCTCGTGGGCAGACACAAAGCCTGCCAGTGAACACCTCACTCAACCATGAAGATCCAGGTTAGAACTGGTCTTCTGAAACCCATGTTTGTCGTAAGAGGCAACTAACGGGATTGGCTGGTCAGACTCGCTGACTTGTTTGACACATCATGACATCGCAATTGATAGATCGATGCTCATGCTGTTGATCACTGGATTGTCTGGCCCAAACACGATTATTTACAGACTGCGACCACATGTAGATGGAATATTGCTGAGTGTGGCGTTTAACAACAAACAAGACTAAGCAAAGATTACCAGACTCTGATCCGACAGCTGCCATCTTAATGCTGAGTGCCAGCCAGGGTAACAAGTACCATGTTTATGGTTTGGCAGGGGATGGAACCACCAAACTTCCACTGTCTCCATAGAGACTGTTCTGACAAGATCATGCAAACCTTGTATTTCCACAACCTGCAGATCGCCCACTGCCGAGGGTCAAAGTTCAATTACAGTTGTGCAAAGACCTTAACCATTTCAAGTGTTGGAGTGACAAGGACATGAAACATAGTTGTCATAATAATTTATTTGTGATACCTGTCTGGACTGGTATGAAGGTGGAGTTAGCTGATGTACAGGAATGCTGCACATGGTGTACACGAACACCGTATACAGACTACATAGTTTATAATACACTATATACATGGTTTGTTTCAGCAATGACTAATAAATATCTCCTTTTTGATATAGCCATGCAACTGCTAAAATATTTCACAAAAATTATCAAATTGTAAAATGTAAACATATCTGTCAAATTTCATAAACCTTTCATGCTGTGGAAAGGTACACCTGTGTCACTCTTCTAGAAACCACCAGCAGCAACAGGCACCTGCTATTGTTTACAATGCTGTGTTTCTAAAACTGCTACACACACACTACTGGCCTGGCAGCAGCTACAAGCACCTGCTAACGCACCAACAATAAAATGTCATCCAGGGTGTTTCCGAGAGCCAAAGGGCCTAATCTCATGGTGAAGATGAGCTCCTGGGCCTACAGGACACCAAGAAATCATGTTTTGGTAATACCTTGTGACAGTTCATTGTACAAAGTCAGTGATAAATGTCTTTTTGCAGAATGAAACATTGCAAGTAAACATTAGAATCTGATTGATGCAGGATATGATTCATTAAATTCTTAAACTGAAAAGACTGATCAATTACACTGAAACACAACAGGTCCAGTTTACACAAATTTAAAGATTGAGTTATAAGTTAACAGTGACACCTGGACAGGAAGAGAACACAAAAACACATGGTGAAAATAAGGCACTACTGACTTCAATATCAACCCCAACACAATGACCACAGTGAGTTGGTTTTTAACACTGCTTTGAACAGAAATCCTGCAGTATCAAGGAATGTCAGCTTGAGGGAGAAAAACCTCAAGTGATGACAGTTTCAGACATTTACTATTTTGTTAAAACCCATGAGCACAGGTATGGTGCTGTCCAACCTACAAACCAAAATGAGATCCGACCCCACAATCTTAGGTTCTTGAGTGCTCAAGGGATGCAACTCTACACAGTGTATTGTGACAGTGTATACAGGGCACCTGTTCCCCAACAGGAGTACATAGTACAGGTACTTACAGAGTAACATATCATGGCACCTGGGCTGGCATCTTGTAGTACCATTATGCATCAGCAATATGACATCAGCATGTAACCATGGTAACAAACAGTGACTTGGTAACCAGACAAACATATAATGTATAAAATGATAAACATACAAATGTAAAACTGTGACAGTTAAAAAAGACAATCAATATCTGTATTTCGTTAACCAGGAAGTTACCACAGTGCCACTGACAGTTTCATCCAGCTGTCGTCATGGTTACAGATTGATAACAGACATAGAGCCCTTTTTCAGTTACATTAGTTAAAATGGGAGAGTCAGCATTCATTTCTTCATTTACAATCATCCACACATAGAAATCTGTCCAAATCTGTCAAATATCACATTTTGAAACAACCATAGAGGGTTGAGTCACTCAGCTTCCTCAATCAAGCCAGCTGTTTTGACGGACACATCCTGACTAAGAGAGACATCATGGCGCTGCCTGCTGCACTCTATACTCCAGGTGTGATTTTGCTGTGAAACTAGAACACTTCTACATTCAAAGATTTCTTCATCCAGATCTTGTATATCTGCTCCACCTAGACTGGCATCAGGTTTACAAAGTCCTCAGATGGCAAAGCTGATACTCCATGCTCAGCATGGTAAACTATCACAGTGTTCGTTACATTCTTTCACATCAGTCATCCATCTAACCTGACTGAATTCCATGCCAGTCACACCCATAAGTTTTCTGGATCTGTGAGTATGACCATGTTGAGCACTACTTAACAACACCCAACTCCGGTATCAAATATCTTAAAGTATACAGCTGTCAAGGTCATCTGACGGCCCCTCACTGTTCTGGGTAAAGTGTTCATTTTCTTCCCAAATCTCTCATTCCGAGTTTGGCATGCTGAGATCAAGGTCTTTTCCTCACATTCATCCATTCCATGGGTTTGTGTACAGATCCATGGTCTTCTCATATCTCCCACTCCCAGTTTCTGGTGGAGCAATCAAGGTAGTTACCTCACATCCAGGCCTGTCTTCGTCCCTGTTGCTGCAGGTGAAAATATACTGATCACATCATACATGTAACCTGGCTCTCTTTGGTGTCCATCCATGTACACCCATGTCTCACATCGTGGTGGATACACAATGTCTCTGAATGTCTATGTGTTTATCAGTGGTATACATATCCTGTATATATCCAGTGTATATCATTTACAGCAGATTATCACCTACAACTGGAGTATTATCTAGAGTATACAGTAAACTATGGTTGTAACATACTCAAAGGGACCAGCAATTTTAGTATGTTTAACTGTAGTTTGTTATATTCATTTCAACCTGAATATACAGCCAGTGGTTGGGACCAAATATGGTTTGTTATGTACATCCGTTCATTATAAACATGTTCGTTAAACATAGATTACGGTATTACCTATATCACATCTGAGATGGATATAACCTAATCATGGTATACTTCAAAGTTGTGGATCATCTACCTATAGTGTATTTCTAAGAATTTCCAGCTGTATGGCAGCTGTCTGTAAATAATAAAGTCTGGATTAGACAATCATGATTCTGAGATATATATCACCTACCTAAGGTATATTTCTGAGATGAATCTCATCTACCCGTGGCGTATGTCTGAGATTTATATCATCTACCCATGGTGTATGTGTGAGATGGATATCACCTAAGTGTGTCTGATTTATATCATCTACCCATGGTATGTCTGATATGATCAACATCTACCCATGGTGTATGTCTGAGATGGATATCACCTACCTATGGTGTATGTCTGAGATGGATATCATCTACCCATGGTGTATGTCTGAGATTTATATCATCTACCCATGGTGTATGTCTGAGATGGATATCACCTACCCATGGTGTATGTCTGAGATTTATATCATCTACCCATGGTGTATGTCTGAGATGGATATCACCTACCCATGGTGTATGTCTGAGCAGCATTTATATCATCTACCCATGGTGTATGTGTATGTGTATGTCTGAGATGGATATCACCTACCCATGGTGTATGTCTGAGATGTATATCACCCCCACCCATGGTGTATGTGGTGAGATGTTTATATCATCTACCCATGGTGTATGTCCATGATTTATCTTCACCCTGGTGTATGTCTGTGATTGGATATCATCTACCCATGGTGTATGTCTGAGATCTATATCATCTACCCATGGTGTATGTCTGAGATTTATATCATCTACCCATGGTGTATGTCTGTGATGGATATCACCTACCCATGGTGTATGTCTGAGATTTATATCATCTACCCATGGTGTATGTGTGAGCAGCATATAACCTACCCGTGGTGTATATCCATGAATCTTCATCCTGTTAGTCTCCTGACGAAGCATCTCCTCATAATCATCCACCGCCGCCTTCTCCTCACGTAGTTCCTCCTGTAGCCGCTGCCTTGCTGACTCCTCACGGTCTCGCCGAGCAGTTACCTGACAAATGACATTACTTGTGCTGTTATCTCTTGACTATATCATATAACCATATATCTCACCTGTTGACCATACTGTATAACACCACATCGGACCTGTTCAGCATACCATATATCGACATATCTAAGTCATTCAACAACTATATAGCTACATCTCACCTGCTCAGCATACCCAGGGGCGGATACAGCTTTTTGAGAAAGGGGGGGTGCACACTATGGAGAAAAGGGAGGGTGCACACTTCATTTTCACCTGAGTTTCAATGGTCATTTAATAAACTTTCAGGACAAAAGGGGGGGTGCACACCCCTGCACCAACCCCACCCCACCTCTGGATCCGCCTATGATACCATATACCAACATGTCTAAGTAATTTGTTGTATATAGTTACATCTCACCTGTTCAGCAAGGTTCAGCTTGAGCTCCTCCCGGGCTGCCTCCTGCTGCTCCTGGTCACGGCGAGTCAGCTGACTGGCGATCTCCATCTCCCTCACTAACTGCTCTCGCTGCTCCAGGATCTCTTCCTCTCGCTGCTGAATCACCAACATCTTGTCCGAAATCTGTTCCTGCCTGCTTGCCAACACCTGCACAACACAACACACCATCAGTGAACCACAACAGCACACAAGCATGGTATGACACAAGATCAGTATGGCAAAATACGGTGCCACAGTAACTGTTAATTGAATCACTTTTTAGTCGGTCACCAATATACTGCATGGGGTAACTAGTGTCCAGAGCCAAACCCTCCCACCCCACAAGAACCAAGTCACACCCCATCCTCAAGAGGGAAGTGGCACCTTCTCCCCCAACACCCTATCTCACAATTTCCCCAACACCCTATATCACAATTTCCCCAACACCCTATCTCACAATTTCCCCAACACCCTTTCTCACAATTTCCCCAACACCCTATCTCACAATTTCCCCAACACCCTATCTCGCAATGCCCAAAAGTCCACTTTTCTGAGTCAGCACACACCTTCATCATGACAAAGTGACACCCCTCCCTAACCAAGTTGTCCCACATCTTCATCATGTCCCCAGCCTGAAGCTTGTCCCCAACCCCACCCTGAGGCCCCACACCTAATCAGCACCCACCTTCATTACGACAAAGTGGCACCCCTCCCTAACCAAGTTGTCCACATCTTCGCCATGTCCCCACCCTGAAGCTTGTCCCCACCCCCCACCCTGAGGCCCCACACCAACATCACAACAAAGTGGCACCCGTCCCTCACCAAGTTGTCCACATCTTCACGCCATGTCCCTAGCCTGAAGCTTGTCCCCACCCCACCCTGAGGCACCTACATCACAACAAAGTGGCACCCCTCCCTCACCAAGTTGTCCCACATCTTCGTCATGTCCCCAGCCTGAAGCTTGTTCCCACCCCCACCCTGAGACCCCATACCTTCATCACGCGACAAAGTGGCACCCGTCCCTCACCAAGTTGTCCACATCTTCGTCATGTCCCCACCCTGACGTTTGTCCCTAACCCACCCTACGGCCCCACACCTAGTCAGCACCCACCTCCTGCATGAGCCTCTCCCTGGCCTGCTTCTCCTTCTCCCAGTCTGCCTCCCGTTTCTGCCACATCCTCGCTGCCTCATCCCTGAAAGACAACCGACACTCAGTCTCTGTCTCCTCAATCAAAATGTTCTCAATGTTATGCTTACACATTAATACTAAGATAATATAAATGCTGAAAGTTCCCATGACAGTTACAGACCAGGGCCTAGATTTTCGAAGCTCTCTTAGCGCTAAGATAGTCGTAAGTGCCATACATTAACATTACCTTACAACTATCTTAGCTCTAAGAGAGCTTCGAAAATCTAGGCCCTGTTAACCTGGCACAGTACCCAGAATTATTGGCCAGGGCTCCAGATAATTTTTCAACATCAGGAGTACGTACTCCTTATTTGTACAATACGGAGTACTGGAAAACCTTAAGTGTACATTTAGAGTACTGAATGGAAGTTAATGGACTATCAGTAATCTTGTTTCGTTTCATATGCACCACAACATTGCTACTCTTGTGTAAACAGGTCAATAAACAATAAAGCAATACTTTTTTCAGATAAATACGTCTGTAAATGATTCTAAGACCGTACATCATTGCTGTGGTGCGTATCTGCTATGTTTTCTAAATTATTTCCTACCGTATCGAGCATATTGCTTATCTGTACATACGCAGATACGGCCCTTATCTGGAGCCCTGTGGACCCTGACTATACTCACTGGTAGAGCATGTCCAGCTCTGCTTCTCTTGCCTTCTCCACTCTCAGCTGGTCCTCAATCACCTGAAACAACAAGTCAGCAAATATTCAAATGAAATTGAAACAAATTGAAGATTTCAGATTCTGCTTTTCTGAATGTAACTAACCATCTCCTAGAGAATCTTCTCCTATGTATTCTAATACATGTGTACCTGTTTCATCCAGGTGGCATCAGCCTTGGCCTTCTCCTTGCGGGCTGTGTGAAGGATGAGGTCGGCCTCCTCCTTCTCAAGCAGAGCCTCTAGCAGCTTGTGGTCCTGTTCCTGAACACACAAGAAACAGTCAATTTATATCCTTTATGTTACATACTGTCATATATCCATCTAAGTGCAGTATGTGTGTTTACTGCAGTTCCTTACACCATGTGTTATATCCCAGTATGTCACATCTTGTGTTATATACCTATAGGCTATATCCTGTGTTATACCAGTGTATGCTATACATTGTTTCATATGCTGTGTTATAGCCCTGTATGCGATACCCTGAGTTAAACCACTGTATGCTTTAAATCCTGAGTAATACTGCTCTATGCTATAATTTGTGTTACATCCTATGTTATACTGCTGCATGCTTAACCCTGTGTTAGACCCCTGTACGAAATACCTGTGTTATAACCCTGTATGCTATAACTTGTGTTATACCACTGTATGCTATATCCTGTGTTATACAGCTGTATGCAATACCCTATGTTATAACCGTGTATGTAACTCACCAGCTCTTGCTGTATTTGTCGAGAGCGCCGCATCAGCTGGGCCTTGTGTTGCCGCAACAGGATTCGCCTGAAGCACACATTACAATATTCTGTTTCAAAGTTGATTCACTGGCTAGTCAGTATTACTGAAAAAATCTGAGCCTAAAATTGAACAAAACTATCAAGCGACTGGTGAAACAAACCAGTGACCCAAACTGTTGAATCCAGTAAGTGAACGAGACAGAAAGTCCCAACACAGAAAGCACACAGAGAACATAGATGGCGACCTACCCAAACTCCTGTTTCTTGCGAGCATCCTCTGTCCTCCTCCGTGTGTCCTCCAATTGCTCCAGCTCCCACTGTTGTCGCTGTAGACTGTCTTGCTCATATTTCAACATGGCCGTCTGTGGAGAGAACAGCCACTTTTGTAGTTCTCTCCACACACAGAATACACATAGCCTTCTTCATACCTTGTATGTTACTACACTCATATCTTCAAAGGTAGTGCAAGAGTGAATGCTGTTTGCAATTTTCAGTTATACCTGGTAACCGTAGCCATATCATCCATCTCTAAGAAACAGGCTAGCTATTCTCGAAACGTTCGTAGCACTACGAACTTCTTAAGCCCATTCTTAACACATTGGCTACGATCAAAGTTAAGAATTCTTAGGGCTACGAACGTTTCGAAAATAAGGGCCCAGGCCTCTTTTTCCAAACAAGATCATCCAATTCAAGCCACAAGCCCACATTATCATCCATCTCAAGACAAACTCAAGACAAACTGCCCACATTATCATAACCTCAGACAAACTGCCTACATTATCATCAACCTCCAGACAAACTGCCTACATTATCATCAACCTCCAGACAAACTGCCTACATTATCATCAACCTCCAGACAAACTGCCTACATTATCATCAACCTCAAACTGCCCAGACAAACTGCCCACATTATCATCAACCTCCAAACTGCCTACATTATCATCATCAAACTGCCTACTTTATCTCCAGACAAACTGCCCACATTATCATCAACCTCCAGACAAACTGCCTACATTATCATCAACCTCCAGACAAACTGCCTACATTATCATCAACCTCCAGACAAACTGCCTACATTATCATCAACCTCCAGACAAACTGCCTACATTATCATCAACCTCCAGACAAACTGCCCACATTAAACTGCCTACATTATCATCAACCTCCAGACAAACTGCCCACATTATCATCAACCTCCAGACAAACTGCCTACATTATCATCATCCAACCTCCAGACAAACTGCCTACATTATCACATTATCATCAACCTCCAGACAAACTGCCTACATTATCATCAACCTCCAGACAAACTGCCTACATTATCATCAACCTCCAGACAAACTGCCTACATTATCATCAACCTCCAAACTGCCTACATTATCATCAACCTCCAGACAAACTGCCTACATTATCATCAACCTCCAGACAAACTGCCTACATTATCATCAACCTCCAGACAAACTGCCTACATTATCATTATCATCAAACCTCCAGACAAACTGCCTACATTATCTCCCTCCAGACAAACTGCCACATTATCATTATCATCATTATCCTCCAGACAAACTGCCTACATTATCATCAACCTCCAGACAAACTGCCCACATGCCTATCATCAACCTCCAGACAAACTGCCCACATTATCATCAACCTCCAGACAAACTGCCCACATTATCATCAACCTCCAGACAAACTGCCTACATTATCATCAACTCCAGACAAACTGCCTACATTATCATCAACCTCCAGACAAACTGCCCACATTATCATCAACCTCCAGACAAACTGCCTACATTATCATCAACCTCCAGACAAACTGCCTATCATCATCAACCTCCAGACAAACTGCCTACATTATCATCATCAACCTCCAGACAAACTGCCTACATTATCATCAACCTCCAGACAAACTGCCTACATTATCATCAACCTCCAGACAAACTGCCTACATTATCATCAACCTCCAGACAAACTGCCTACATTATCATCAACCTCCAGACAAACTGCCTACATTATCATCAACCTCCAGACAAACTGCCTACATTATCATCAACCTCCAGACAAACTGCCTACATTATCATCAAACCTCCAGACAAACTGCCTACATTATCATTATCAAACTGCCAGGTTAATTATCATCAACCTCCAGACAAACTGCCCACATTATCATCAAACCTCAAACTGCCCACATTATCATCAGACATCAACTGCCCAGACAAACTGCCCACATTATCATCAACCTCCAACCTCCCAGACAAACTGCCCACATTATCATCAACCTCCAGACAAACTGCTGCCCTCCACATTATCATCAACCTCCAGACAAACTGCCTACATTATCATCAAACCTCCAGACAAACTGCCTACATTATCATCAACCTCTGCAGACAAACTGCCTACATTATCATCAACCTCCAGACAAACTGCCTACATTATCATCATCATTATCAACCTCCAGACAAACTGCCTACATTATCATCAACCTCCAGACAAACTGCCTACATTATCAAACCTCCAGACAAACTGCCTACATTATCATCAACCTCCAGACAAACTGCCCACATTATCATCAACCTCCAGACAAACTGCCTACATTATCATCAACCTCCAGACAAACTGCCTACATTATCATCAACCTCCAGACAAACTGCCTACATTATCATCAACCTCCAGACAAACTGCCTACATTATCATCAACCTCCAGACAAACTGCCTACATTATCATCAACCTCCAGACAAACTGCCTACGATTATCATCAACCTCCTCCAGACCACATTATCATCAACCTCCAGAAACAAATCCACCTCATCATCAACCTCCAGACAAACTGCCCACATTATCATCAACCTCCAAGGACAGTAGTCACACCCACACTACCATCCACCTTCCAGATATGTGCCCCTCCCCGACTCACCTCTTCCTCCCTCTTCTTCAGCTCCATCATCTGCTCCTTCAGGACTTCCTTCAGCCTCTTCTCCTCCACCAGTTTCTCCTCTGCACGCTGTTTCTCCGCTTCCACAGCAGCCTGTCTCTCCAGCTCCATCTCCTCCTCATACTTCTCCTTCTCGCGCCGTGCACTCTCCATCCTCTGTCAACAGGCAGCCAGTCAGTGTAGAACAACATACAGGACTCATGGAAACATGCCTGTCTACATATGATACTGTCAGTCCAATCTTATATTCAGTCAGTTAACAAAGTGCTTGAAAACGAGTGATTACAAATTATCCACTTGCACCATCTTCTAGTAATCCAGAAATTTGTGAATTTGAACAATTTTATTTGGAATGGTATAGTCCACGGCCCCATTCCACAATGCAATCTCAGTACTAAGATGATCATACCGTCCACACTTTAACAAATAACTTATGACAATCAAAGCGTTGATCTGTTTGTAGAACTGTGTGCAGATCCCCAACCTTTCCTTGATTATGCCTTTAATGCTGTACTTCGTGACTATAAGGAAGGGTGACTGGCTGACTGACCCACCTCTCTCTGCTCTTCGACCTGGTCCGGCCATGAGTTGACCACATGCTCCTGCAGCAGGCTCTGTTCCACCTGAACAAAATCACAAACAACATCTTACACTGCAAACACAACCATGTCAATACATCTAGTATATACCTGTAGACTGACAAATTTTTATGGATAGTTAGTGAGTGTAGTTTTACGCTGCACTCAGCAATATTCTAGCTATATGGCAGCAGTCTGTAAATAATAAAGTCTGGACCAGACAATCCAGTGATCAACAGCATGAGCATCGATCTACACAATTGGGATACGATGACATGCATCAGCCAAGTCAGTGAGCCTGACCACCCGATCCTGTTAGTCGCCCGTTACAAGCATGGGTTACTGAAGATCAATTCTAATCCAGAATATATAGATAACAACTTCTTTTATTTTGTATTTTTCACTATTAAAGAAGTAGTTGTCCATAAACATTTATCATATTTGTACTTCCCAACTTCTAAAATGCCACTCAAAGATGGTACATACCATCATTAATATACCTGTGGACAGATCATGTTCTTTTCACATACCAATATACATGTCCACATATTCTCTTATCCAGTGTATTAAATTTCCACATAGTATTTATATTCCAGAATCATTTTTCCAAACATTTCAGTTAATAAACAAGCACAACCAGTTCAGCTAACCAGTTTCATTGGCAAGGTGATGAGTGATGTCATTTGATTGTGACTGTGATGTCATGGTAACCATTATCTGATGATTATATGATGCAATTTCATCTAACCTAGATCTCCTCTGGAATACCACACCATACCTATGAGTGAGAGACATTTTGTTATTGACATTATGAGTAATAAGACACTGATAAGAGAGCAGGAAGCAGAATCAATAACTGGTGATGGACTTTACATACTAATCATGATAAAATGGAAAAGACACTGGACAACTGTGTGCCCAACACACATGTTAGCTCACCTTCCTAATGTCGGGGTTATTCTGCTTCCAGTGTTCATACAGCTTCTCATCTGCCATCTGCACACAACATCATCATCATATATGTACCGCAAAACTTTTGTGTTGACAAGTAAGTGAGTGAGTGTAGCTTTATTCAGCTTTTAGCAATATTCCTGCAATATCAGGGTTGGGAACATCAGAAATGGGCTTCACACATTGTACCCATGTGGGGAATCGAATCCGGGTCTTCGGCGTGACAAGCGAATGCTCAAACCACTGTGTTGAAAATTGGATGTACAGTCAGTGTCAGTAAGTGTCAAGCACAATGTGAAGCTTGATAGTCTCTTACAGCCAACCAAGATTGTTGAGATTACCGTAAGTCTAGTGAGTGAGTGAGTTAAAGTTAATATTTAACGTCACATCGGCAATATCTCAGCCATAGTAAAAATACTAGAGAATCAGAGATAGAACACCAAAGCATATAAGAGTTACATGTCTTACATGTTTTCTTTTCTCCTCACGAGCACTTTTCAGACCATCTGCTCGATTCCTCATCTCCTCCATACGACTGTAGTTGTCACGCGAGTAACCCCGCAGCTCAGCCTGGAGTGGCACAGTCAGACGGTTTATATGAGAGTGCATGAATGTGTAACTTCACTGAAGTGTGACTGAAAACATTTTGTGATAAAAACAGGGACTACAAAGTTATGGTAGTGAATGGATTGTGGGGTTTTATCATATCTGAGTGTATATAATTAACTGGATAAATGAAGATAAGCTGAGCTGTATCTGAGTGAGACTGTGATTCAATTGTGTTTTATGCTGCTTTTAGGAACATTACAGCAGTATCACGGCAGATGACACCAGGAATGGGCTTCACACATTGTAGACATTTGGGGAATCAAACCTGGGGCTTTGGCATGATGTGCAAACACCTTAACCAGAAGGCTACCCCACTGCCCCAACCTGTATCTGAAACTGATGCTAAGCTAGAAAGAGGAGTTGTTTGCTACACTGCTGCAAGCAATATCATCCCTAGAGAGACATTACTAATGTACTGGAATACAAGGGCACCTGGCATTACCTCAAACTGGAGATTCTCCTCGTGTATGAGCTCTGCTAGCTTAGATCGCCTCCGCTTCAAGCTGAGAGCTTTGATATCCTTCTCTGTCCGTGACTTGTAGGCATCCATGCTGCAATCCAGGAATGGACGATCAAATTAAAACACAGAGTTCTACTTCAGATAAACTTGTATCTAACTCATAGCTTAAACAGTTGCCAAGACTGATTTATATCGGGTGTGAAATTTCAGGTTTCACCAGCTGATGGATTAATGAAGTAACTGATTTGAAGTGAATGGTGAAAAATTATTTCAGTTTTGTGTGTGAAGAAATCCAATAAAATCATGTTGCCTAACCAAGGATCATAATCAAAGAGGAATCTGGCATTCGAACCAATAACCAGAAAATCCTGGTGTCACTAAGGGAGTCAACTCTGCATAGTGAACTGTGGTATCTCAGACTACAAAGCAACCACTGAAGCTGGGTTTCACAATGTCCAATAACGTTTGAGTTTGAAATGACACCAGTTTTAAATGTTTTCCACACTGGTGAAAGCAGCATGGTTATGGTACTGACAAACCCTGAAACAACTGAGGTGAACTGGGATATGAACCCACAATTATTGGTTTCTGGAATGCCCAGCTGATCCTACTCACAACTGAACAACTTCCCCGTAATATCACGGCATAACTCCCCCATAACCAGTGTTCACGAATGGTGTTTCAAAGTCACAGGACATTGGGTCCTGTAAGTTTCAGATGTCTGTCTGACCCATTGAAAATGCACAGGACCCATGGAATGAAATTAAACACACATTTCAGATTTAATATTTCTTATAATTGGCATTGAAATTATTAACAAACATAAGATTTATAAACAGCAAACAAGTGTCACATGTCACATAAAACAACTTCAGTCAAAGTCATTGTGAAATATACAGTCAGACACTGGGGCTGGCGGGTTGTAGACTTCTATCGGACCGTTGGCGAATCTGCCGGATTTGTCAGAGGGTCAGACGCTATTCGTGAACACTGTTAAGGAAGTCATTGTACTGTAGAGTGTGATTTTGAAGTAAGTCATTTCTAGTGCAATTAATAGTTCACTGTCACAAAAATGTGTACATTTATCAAAATATTGATGTAAGTCATTTCTAGTGCAATTAATAGTCTACTGCCACAAACATGTTCACATTTATCAAAATATTGATGTAAGTCATTTCTAGTGCAATTAATAGTTTACTGCCACAAACATGTTCACATTTATCAAAATATTGATGTAAGTCATTTCTAGTGCAATTAATAGTTTACTGCCACAAACATGTTCACATTTATCAAAATATTGATGTAAGTCATTTCTAGTCAATTAATAGTTTACTGCCACAAACATGTTCACATTTATCAAAATATTGATGTAAGTCATTTCTAGTGCAATTAATAGTTTACTGCCACAAACATGTTCACATTTATCAAAATATTGATGTAAGTCATTTCTAGTGCAATTAATAGTTTACTGCCACAAACATGTTCACATTTATCAAAATATTGATGTAAGTCATTTCTAGTGCAATTAATAGTTTACTGCCACAAACATGTTCACATTTATCAAAATATTGATGTAAGTCATTTCTAGTGCAATTAATAGTTTACTGCCACAAACATGTTCACATTTATCAAAATATTGATGTAAGTCATTTCTAGTGCAATTAATAGTTTACTGCCACAAACATGTTCACATTTATCAAAATATTGATGTAAGTCATTTCTAGTGCAATTAATAGTCTACTGCCACAAACATGTTCACATTTATCAAAATATTGATGTAAGTCATTTCTAGTGCAATTAATAGTCTACTGCCACAAACAAGTCATTTCTAGTGCAATTAATAGTCTACTGCCACAAAAATGTTCACATTTATCAAAATATTGATCCTACTCACAACTGAACAACTTCCCCATAACATCTGAATGCATTATAAGCATTGGTAAGCAACATATCAGTTGTTTTTAGAAATATTCCTGCTATTAAGAAGCACCATGATTTTCATTCACACATCATATCCATGAGTGGAATTGAACCAGGCCCTTTGATATCCCCAAGTGAACATTCTACCACTGAGCCACCCTGATCCCCTGAAGACGTCAAGTTATGTACCACCTGTCCTGAAATGACTGATCAGACATCCATGTTTTCTTCTTGGAGGCGTCAATGTCCATCTTGTTGAAGTGGTCAGATGCTTCTGACCACTTCTGTCTGAAATCTGTCTCATGATTTCGACGACTAACGATTGCCTGCTCATAGATATTGCGTCTGCTTGTCCAGTAGCCCGGGATTGTGGGTAATGCCATTCTAAAAAACTGAAATTTGTTTGAAAATGTAATCACAGTCTGTAAATAGGAGTTAAAACATAATCAAACGCTTTATGTTTACCTCTTACATATGTTCTGCATATGCTTGGTGCATTATCGAATCGACTCGAATGTGTGAAAACATTTGTTCAGAGACATCCTTATGACAACCAGCTCTAACACTATGTTATTTCTGCCACAAGTCTAACGTGACATTTTTATATGAATATATTTTTATATGATAGGCTGACCATTAAGACAAATGCTTGAGAAATTTCATCCTGAGCACTTATATATATCCACTGTACCCGATAACCAATCTTTTGCTAGTAAATAAACATGATTAACTAGTAAGTTGTTAAATACAATCCTTCAATTAAAAACCTCCTTAAAATGACAAACATATTTTCAGTTATAGCATATATCACGGGACCCTGTATTATCATGGTAGTTAATGTTGTCACTATCGGGATTATGAATGCCTATTGACATTTGGCAGTTTGTATATATTTTCACTTGACTGATGTTTACTGTCCATTTCAGTCGAAACTCTGATTGCCTCATTTTACCTGGAAATTGAAACAACTCTCTATTATCGCGGTATTGCTATTTTCTTACTATGGCAGGCGGTACAAGCAAATGACACTGTCAAACGTTTACTTGAGACAAGAAATGAATCTAAATAGTATTAATGTTAAAAAATATTTAGGAATTTCATTAAGATTAGTAATATGATCATGTTTTTAACCAAAACATCTGCAACTTCTATTCATTTACATACAAGGTAACAATAACGTAAAAATCATTTCTTGCAATTGCCACCTTAAAGCGTGCCATACAATTTGCTGCCGTGTGCAAGGTAAAGTTACACAATATGTCATTTCCTGTTATAGTTTGGGGGGAGAAATTACGCAAATGACCTTATAATTGTCACAGGATTACCCTTGACAAAGTGAAATTTGATTCATGCAAGTTTCAAAATGTTCCAGAAGTTACTGCAAAGATAAATACTTTCTATGATTAGACATGACATTCCAATAAAATCAATGACTTTTTCAAAAGCGATGAATATTTTTCACGTAATTTGCATATGTAAACAGCCGATGCGGGGCATGGTGTTTCTGCTTTGCCGATGTTTTCACGTGCTTTGCCGATGTTTTCACGTGCCGAGATAATAGAGAGCCCGCGATAATAGAGAGTCCCAGTATGAGACTTGGCCAGCAAATGTTTTCCGAATATGCTGAACATTTACACTGGCTCAAGTGGATTGTGCCTATGAACATGATTAAACCTTGCAAGTGATGCACTTGTAAAGTTTAGAAAAAAGGCAAACGAATGTAAAAACGATAAAGAGAACACACCTTTAGATTTGGACATTGTGTTAAAATTCTAACTTTAGAGATTTCATATGACATTCAAATTGCATGATATTTATGACAACACTCGTTTGTAAAACTCTAACTCCAATCTATTTTAGTGTTTCCAACTACATGGCAATATTTGTAATTCGCCTAGAAATATATCAAGGTATAATAAAATGTCATGTATTGGAAGTCAATCATCGATTTTACAGCGCTGACATTGTTTGAAATATTACAAGACTGATCATGTTCTCACACTATCCCTAAGTCCGGAAGCAAAACCCTTCACATCTCACAATTGTACTTACATATTTTTATTTACCGCCACGTAGCTAGATATTTCCGACGGATATATAACTTCTTCTTAAACTTCCCTCACTTAATGCTCGAATATCGTGACATTATCATATTTTGGAGCATAAATTTCGTTTCGAATGACAACAAACTCGTTCATGGCGGGCGTAATGCGCATGCGCAAACATGCTTAAAAAAGTGTTATTTGGCAGACATGAATCTTGTTCGTATGAGGGTGGCGTTCTACGAAGCAGCCAAAATGCAGGAAATCCTATAATGAGGACAAATAGCAGTAGACATTGCTTACTCAGTAGAGGGCAGAGATGGTAATATAATGTATGTTCGATTGGCGTTTACGAAATATCGTCGTTAATCGGTCTCAGAAATTACTGTCTTGGACCGGCACTATTACCAAACTCACCAGACATGATAACAGTATGAACGGACACAGTGGGTGAATTTCAAGTTTGACTACAGCTATATAGACAGCTTGGCATTCAGTATGTGGCTGATTTTGCGTGACTGTGTCACTTAAACCACAGTAAATGTATACAGTGTGGTTAGTATTAGCATTTGGTTGTTAGTATTAATATGAGTGAGTGAGTTTAGTTTTACGCCGCCTTTGGCAATATCACCGCGAGGGACACCAGAAATGAGCTTCACACATTGTGCCTATGTGGGGAACCGAACCCGGGTCTTCGGTGTGACGAGCGAACGCTTTAACTACTAGGCTACCCCACCGTCCCCTGTATTAAGTTTAGCATTTAGTTTTAGTATTAAAATCAGTATTGATATTACTAGTTTGTATTAGTACATAATCTACACCTTGAGGCCATACTTCGGGTATCTCAATATGCAAAGAGATGTTAATATGTTTTCGGGTTTTTCGTTTTTCTTGTTTTTCTTGTTGTTTGAAGCCACACTCAGCAATATTCCGGCTATATGGCGGCGGTCTGTAAATAATCGAGTCTGGACCAGACAATCCAGTGATCAACAGCATGAACATGGATCTACCCAACAGGGATACGATGATATGTGTCAACCAGGTCAGCGAGCCTGACCACCCGATACCATCAGTCGCCTCTTACGACAAACATTGGGTACTGAAGATCAATTCTAACCCGGATTTTCAAGGGTAGTAAGTCCTCAAGAAAAACGTAAACAAGTGAAAAACGACTGACATGATGAGATTGGTGTTGAACCACGATTTGTCATAAAACTGTTGCATAAACTGAGTACAAACAGTACCTTGTTCAACCTCTTTTTCCATCGATCATCGCAGCTTTGTGTTTGAATCGAATTCAAATGGCACCAAGCGAAAACTGAACGTCCAATCAAAAGACATTTATAAGCGAAAGGAATTGTATGCTAGATGTCTCCGAAAGCGAAGCTCTAGTTTCAGATGGCTCTATGGTATATATTCTACCAGCAAGGGGATACAAGAAAACATTGACGCAAGGCAACAAAATATGAACCGGTCAAATCTTTTCATAAACGTTTGTGTTTGAATCGAATGTTCTGTTACTTGGTTGAGTTTGTTATGTCACGGAGAGGTAGCCCCCAAGTCCTATTTGACGGTTATCTTCACACTAAGAATGTCGAGAGACAGTCTTGTGTACACTGGAAGTGTGTTCAGTCTACATACAGAGGAAGAGTCACAACTGTTGGCAATGTTGTAAGGAATACGACAGAACATAATCACCCACCAGAGGATAGTCAGAAGGTCCGGTTTGTCAGCAACCTGAGGAAGAGAGCCAGGGAGGAGTCAACACAGATGCGCACCATCTACAACGACGAGCTCACCAACCTGACCAATGATGAGACACGCACGATGCCATCCTTTCCATCCATGTGCAGCGCCCTGTACCGTCACCGCCAGAAGACGATTCCTGTTTTACCACAGACGAGATCAGAAGTCGACCTTCAAGATCCCTGGACGCAGACAGCAGATGGTCGACCATTCCTCCTGTTTGCTGGCATTTGACATCCTGGCATTTGGCACCCAAGAGAGTATTCAGGCCTTGCAGTCAGCCGAGAACATCTACATGGATGGAACATTCACTGCCTGCCCTGCACTGTGGAATCAAGTCTACATCATACATGCCAGACGTGGGACCACCACATATCCCCTCATATCTTCGCCTTACTTCCCGACCGCCAGACGACGACCTACTCCAGACTCTTCAGACTCCTCAAGGATGAAGTTCAGCGGAGACTCAACAGGCCGCTTGTCCCATCCTGTATCCAGACAGACTTCGAGTTAGCAGCAATCCATGCCTTAGAGACTGAATTTCCAACTGCTGTCGTGAAGGGTTGTTTCTTCCATTTCTGTCAAGCCATTTGGAGGAAGGTTCAGGATCTTGGACTGGCTGCTGCCTACAAAGAAAACCCCGAAGTCACCAAGTGGATCAGGAGAGCAGCTGGGCTACCTCTACTCCCTCAAGACACGGTCCAGGACACGTGGGTAGAAGCCATGGACGACACTCCAGACGTCCCAAGAGCAGTCGACTTCAACGATTACATCGTGACAACCTGGGTCGACGACACAGCCAGATTTCTACTTCCCCTGTGGAACCACAACCTGACAACTGGGCCGAGGACAAACAACAATCTAGAAGGTTTTCACAACCGACTGAACCGTGAAATTCCACAAAGGCATCCGAACATATACAGATTTGTAGAAGTCATTAAGGAGAATTGAACATGCTGAGAGGGTGAAGATTTCACAAATAGACTTTGGTGCTGCGACAAGAAGCAGAAAGCGAGTCTTCAGGGAGATTGACAATCGCCTGTGTAGACTCAAGGAGCAGCTTGAGCTTGGACAGAAATCACCTCTTCAGTTCTTGGACGCCGTCGGCTATCTGCTTAAGCTGGGATAGATTGAAACACTGAATGTTCATAGATTGAAACACTTGACACAAATGACTATGTTAACACTGAATGTTAACAATTAATTGTTAATGTCCATCAAAGAATCATGATGACGAATTATTGTTAATTCTTATTAAAATCTTGATGATGACAAATGATGATCACTTTCCATTAAAATCATTCTCTCAACCTTTTAGTTGTGTGTTGTTATGTCTCTTAAGTGGATTAGTCCATTGTGTGGAATAGGTAACAGGCAGTGAATTAACAGTGCAACAGACCGTAAACTATGTTGTTATAAGCTGTAGGGGTAGTGGCATGTGGGGGTAATGGGGGGTTACCGGTCTGCATTGTGCTCGTCAATCAGGTGATGAGGCTCCAGCTTCATACAAGAGGCCGCCCGATGGAAAACAACGATGAAGTTAATTTGTTCATATTGCCCAATAGTGCTAACCTTTCCAACGGAGAAAAAAACAGCCATGTGTTCGAGAACGGATGGAGACGGCACAGCACAGGTTAATGAATAAATAACTTTGTGTGTGAACGTGCTTTTCGAACACCTGGCTGTCCCTTTCTCTGCACTCCTCCCACGTAACAAACAGTGAACTGTGTCAATACTTTAATGATAGTTTGTTAAACAACATTATTATTTTTTAGGACAAAAATTCTGCGAAAACCTCACAGAGTTGGTATGATGTTTTGATTATGATCAGCGTTTCAGTGAGTATTTTATGTTTATTAGTTTTCGAGTTAGATTGCAATTCATCGGTCCGCTTTTGAGCCAAACGGACTGTAAATTAAGTTCAGTCGCTCACTATACCTAGATCAGGCTTAAACGTTGTCAGAAAAGTATTCGTGAATACAGTAAACAATATACGGTCGAAACCAGACTTTCATTACGCTCGTGTGTGTGTGTGTGTGTGTGTGAGAGAGAGAGAGACTGACTGACTGACTGAGTTTGGTTTTACGCCGCTTTTAGCAATATTCCAGCAACATCACGGCGGGGGACACCAGAAATGGGATTCACACATTGTGCCCATGTGGGGATTCGAACCCGGGCCTTCGGCGCGACGAGCCAACGCTTTAACCACTAGGCTACCCCACCGCCCAGAGAGAGAGAGAGAGAGAGAGAGAGAGAGAGAGAGAGAAGAGAGAGAGAGAGAGAGAGGGAGATGCTCTCATATGCAAGTTCATGCTTTCTAAAGGTATAAAGACTCCATTTATGTAATCTCCAATTTTGTATAAAATATATTTTTCTTCCTGCTGCGTTTGAACAAACTTTGTCATGTTTTTTTAAAAACGTTGCTTTGCTAAGAAAATTATAGCGTCCTGAACTAAACTTTATAAATGTGTTTAGACATATCTGTATATATGCAACTGTTTTGTTCAGTTTAAGTATTATTATACAATAGTTGTATTACTAAATTCAGTTGACAGTCTAGAGATTGCACATGAAATGTACGTCATATACATGACATCATCAGGTTTGTTCAATATTACTCACTCACTCAGTTTACTCACACTCGTAGATTTTTAGATTCATACCTCAATGAACAGAAACAAATACACAGTCAATCCTTAAAATTAAATTAAAAAACAAAATTAGTAATTTTAACAGAATATGCCCACATTCGTGTAAGAAAGATGAACACTGTCAGCGTATGGATATGTCACTTCTGTGAATCAAACTTGGCTCCTATATACACTAAACAACGGCAATCGTTTCCAGTTTTCAGTGCAGTTACTTCGTATGCAATAGCGTTGCATATTAAAATGAAACAATGATTTATTGATAATAAAGTTGTATAAGACTCTGGAATGTCCACAAAGTCAACACAAACGACAAGTAGGCGAGCCGAAAAAAATCACTCGTGAAGAAATTCGATGTTGACGTCATGTAGAGGTAAATAGCTTCGATACTTAATCAAAGCTAGCTAATTATCTTACATGAAGATTTTTCCTGTCTATACATATACAGGAAACCATTTCGTAGCATTCAGTTAAAGACGAGAGAGAAAATTAAAGCCCGATTTTTCACAACAAAACGTTGTAATCAAAAGGGCATATCTAGAGTGTACATTGTATTGTCAGTGGCACCAGCGGTTCACCGTCGAACATTTATGTAGATTTCTATGATTTTTATGGAGTAGCATGTACAATGTGAGTACCCCCCCTCCCCTAAAATTTATGCACAAAGTAAGTGCCCCCTCCCACATGTCATGTACAAAGTCAATGGACCCCCTCCAACCTAGTACATGTGTACAAAATTGATGACCCCCTACCTCCCCAGAACAAAATGGGTGA